GTCTCAAAATAAAGACATTAAAAGGTGAGGTGGGGAATGCTGGTGATGTAACTCAGTGGTAAAGTACCCCTAGGTACAATCTTCAGTACCAAAAACCTAAATAAATAAAACCTTAGACCAGTGACTTACAAACAACAGAAATTTATTTCTGACAATTCTGAAGTTTGGGAAGTTGAAGATGAAGGCCCCAGAAGATTTTATTCACTTCTTTGTGTCCTCACACAGCAGAAGGAATCAGAGAACTCCCTGGTCCCTTTGATGAGGGAATGAATCTCATTGTTAAGGTTCCATCCTCATGACCCAGTCACCTCCCAAAGCCCCCACTTCCAGATACCATCATGTTGGAGGTTAAATTTCTACACGAATTTCAGGGGGAAACAAATATTCAGACTATAGAAGACATAAAAGAATTGATCATTTGACTTCTTTAAAATTATAATCTGTAGTTATTGRAAAGACATTGTTAAGAAACTGAAAAGATTTTAAGTCAGACTAGGAGAACATTCATAATATATATCTTTTCATTCATTTTTCAAGATCTTTTTAACTGGTGCATAATAATTGTACAGAATAGTGGATTTCATTGTGCCATACTCATACATACCATAACATAATTTGATCAATTTCAATTCCTGGCACTTCCCTGTCCCTCCCTTTCTCTTTCACCCCGATTCTCTTCCTCTACCTTACTTATCTCCCTTCTGTTTTCATGAGGTTCCTTTTTTGCACATTCTTCTAGAGAGGGCTAGAGGGTTTTCATTATAAGAGAAAACATATGATCTTGACTCTCTAAGTCTGGCATTTTTCACTTAATATGATGATCTCCAGTTCCATCCATTTTYCTGCAAATGACACAATTTCCATTCTTTTTTTAATTTTTAAAACATTTTATATAAATCATAAAACAGTGCTTGTATAAAAATTCACACAAAGTTGCTAGAGAGCATACAATTTCCAAAAATGTCATGGGTTTTTGTTACATTCAGTTTTCTAAAGATGCACTCAATTCAATGGTAATATGCAGACATTATGCGATATTTCATTATCTTTGGTAAAACTATTMTCATTATTTTRTCTCCTCACAGTATTAACTCTGATATCCRCTTTGTGCAGGGTCTGCTCTCACTAGGATGTCAGAAAACATTAAGGCTGGATCTACTAGAGGCAAATGTTCCCAACAGCAGGGACACCCCTGGYCCCCAACCCCACTTCAGAATCGTCACCACAGCCAGACAGGGCAAGAGCTCAATGACCTCCAACCAGGGGTCTCAAGAACCCTTGGKGGGGGGAGGTGGAAACTGAGGCCATCTCTACAGGAACCCAAGTGGCCATGTTGCGGTGTGGTCAGGCAGCAACGCTTACCAACTCTCACCATTTTAACAGCCAATCCAGTCACCACTAAGTAGATCCCATTGGTTGGTTGATAACTGCTGCTGATATGCCCCCTAACTTGAAAGGAAAGCAAGGTTTGGAGTCAACACTGAAGGGGGAGGGGCACACTAGTGCTAGTGACACAGACACCACTTGATTCCCTGTCAAACTTCTGTCGTCATGTAGACATGGCCATGTGAACTGAAGCAGGATCCGAACACTGAGTACATTCATGACTATCTTCATACATTCTTCAACAACTTACTAACAGAGAAAACCATGTCCACTACCACCTACCATGACTTACTATTTTACTTAACGTCAGAATGTGTCTGTGCTAATTCACTTCTGCATCCATACAGGTGGCTCCGGTGGGCATGGTTTTTTTTTTTTTTTAACATGAAGCAATAGAAGTACAAAATACTTATTTTTTTCAGAATTTAGTGTGTTCCATAAAATCTGTTGGCATCACCCCATCCTTCTCCCCATCTTAATTCTTTGGTTTTTACTTGTTTGTGTTTTGGATTATTTTCTGCCTTGTATCCCAAGGACTAAAGAATTTCCATTCTTTATGGCTAAATAAAACTATATAACACATTTTCTTTATCCATGTATGTTTACCCATTTTATCTTTATATTTATTCTTTATCCATTTCTTTATTGTGAATTTCGATACTATAAACTTAGGTACACAGGTATTTCCATAGTATGCTGACATTATTTCTTTTGTATAAATAGAAAGGAGTGCCTAATGCTTCATAAAGAAGAATGAAATTATGGCATTTGCTGGTAAATGGATGGAAATGAAGAATATTGTGCTAAGTGAAGTAAGCCAGGCTCTGACAATCAAGAGTTGGATATTTTTTCTCATAWGTAGAAGCTAAGCAAAATAAGAGGAATAAATGGGAGTGGGGGAACCAGATATCATAAAGATAAAGGGAAGATTGGTGGAGTAGAAGGAGGAGATCAAGAAGGAGGGAAGAGGGACAGGAAAGGGGAGGAAATGTGGAATGAAYTTAACAACAAAAGCACAATACATATCTTTGACAAATAACTTGTACCCAGAATATATAAAGACTTTTCATAATTCAATAAATCTGAGTAAACGTGGTGCAAAAGATTTTAACAGATGCTTAACCAAAGGGGAAATTCTGGTGGCAAACACGTGAAAATGTGCTGTATATCATTATTCATTAGGAAAATGCAAAAACCGTTGAGAAGCCACTGAACACCTATTAGAATGGCTAAAATGAAAGAACAAATAAATAAATGACAATGCCAAGTGCTGGCAGAGGTCTAGAGCAATTCTCATATATTGGCCATGAGAATGCAACATGACAGCCACTTTGGTGAGTTTGGAAGTTATTTACAAAGTTAATCACACATTTACCATAAGATACTTTTCCAAGAGAATGTCCGCAGAAAGAACTACAGATGCTCCTTGATTTTCTTTTTTCCAGTACTGGAGATGAAACCCAATGTCTTTGCAAATGCTTGACAAGTACTCTAACACTGAGCTACATAACCAGTCCTACTCTCTTTAAGTTTTAATGATGTTATATCCTGATCAACTAATATAACTCCAAAATATAACTCCAAATTGCAGTTCATACACCTAACCTACCGAACATCATACCATAGACATGCGTAAAAACACTTAGTCTAAAGTTGGGCAAAATCATGTAACTCAAAGCCCATTTTACATATGGTGGCCACGAGGTAGCAATGGTGACTTGTAGCTGCTGATCACTGCCACTGCCCAGCCTCCTAAAAAAGTATCATACTTTATATTGTAGCCAGAGAAAACATCAAAATTCAAATATTTGAATACACTTTTGATTGAATGTAAGTCTCTTTTGTGCCATGGTAAAGTCAAAAAATCAAGTTAAACTATCATAAGTTGGAGACTATGTGGTATATAAAAATGTTTATAGAAGTTTTTTTAATAATCATACAAAACTCAAAACAATCTGAATGTCCATGAAACCAAAAAAAATATATAAATTGAGTTCTAGTCATACAATAGAATACTCCTCAGCAATAAAAAAAGAATGAACAATACTTGCARTGACACATATGAATCTAAATAGCATCAGCCTAAATGAAATAAAGAAGACACAAAATACCATCAACTATACGAATCCAACAACATAGGAAAGGCAGTGGCTGTGAGGGTCTGAGAATGAGGTGAGTGACATGTTTGCAAAGGCCAAGGGAACAAAAAATGGTAATGCAAATATGAATCTTGGTCATAGTAGTTAGGAGATGATATATGTTTGCCAAATCTCAGGAAGCTGTACACCCCAAAAGTATAAATTTTGCTATGTGTAAATAATAACATAAAAAATCTATTTTCAAAAAATTAAAAATAATCATACAGAATTCGTTGAATAGATTTTATAGGTACTACAATGCATTATAAAGCAACCAATAAAAAAATAGTAATATAAACATATCTAGCATTTATATTAAAAGCAGGTTTTATATATATATATATATGCAAAAATATTTATATTTAAATACATATGAGCATACAACACATTATGACCTATATCTGCTTTCTTTTCTTTTCTTTCTTTTTCAGGGTTACTTTACCACTGAGCTATACCCACATCCCTTTTTAAATTTATCTGGAGACAGACTTTCACTAAGTTGCCAAGGCTAGCCTCAAACTTTAATCCTCCTGCATCAGCCTCCTAAATCACCAGAATTATAGGCATGTCTACCATGCCTGAAAAGATATACCTGAGAATGTAAACAAGATATGTCTCTGCATGATAGGATAGGATTAGTTATATGTGTTCTTATCAGAATTATTTACATTTTTTTTGAGAGAGAGAGAGAGAGAGAGAGAGAATTTTTTTAATATTTATTTTTTAGTTCTCGGCGGACACAACATCTTTGTTGGTATGTGGTGCTGAGGATCGAACCCGGGCCGCACGCATGCCAGGCGAACGCGCTACCGCTTGAGCCACATCCCCAGCCCCAGAATTATTTACATTTTAATTGAGCATGCATTCTAATAATATAAAACATAAAAATATCAAACAACACCAACTTCAAAAACATGAGATTTATTAGGAAAAAAGCTATACTATAGAATTTTTCCAAAAGACAGGAAAGGCTGTGTGTGTGTGTGTGTACATGCAAAGTATAACTGGAGAGCTGGAGTACAACTGGAGTGGCAGAGCAAGTGCTTAGCATGCCCAAGGCTATAGATTTAATCCCAAGAAATAATTAAACTGAAAATCCGTTGAGGGTAGAGGTCAGGTCTGACTTTATTCATTGTTGAATAATCATTGCATAATGACAGTGTTTAGTAGTTAAAAAATATTTGTTGAAGAAAGAAAAAGATGGAGAAGGGGATTGGGAGAGCTTGCTATTTGCCAGCCATTGATGGAGGGAGAGAGGAAWGGAAACTAGAATCTGAGAAAGGAGGAGCACTGAGGGTGTCCAGGGAGTGAGCTATTGAAATGTCAACACCTGATGCTGAGAACAAGCAGGTGTCAGGGCTTGGGCAGTGCTGGCAAAAAACAGCCAGTGTTTCAAGGGTACAGGAGTGCAGGGAAGGGCTACGCTGGAGGGCAAATGCCTACCCAAAGGAGAAGAGGGCAAAAAGGATCAGGCCTCTAAAGCCTGTTACAGAAAGATGTGTTACTGCAGCACATTAAATCCACTTTCACATTTCGGTTGAAGAGGGACATGGGAATGCACAAGTCACTACAGCCCTGGTACCCATACAGGAATCTGTCACCTGGAAAACAAAAAAGACAAGAAGTAAACAAATATTTATAGAAAGAATCAGTTACTCAGTGAATGAGGAAAAACAGCACATTGCCCTGGRGGGTCAGGTTCCCAGGTAGGAAGGGACACCAGCCACCCTGAGATGACCAAGATAGCTCCTTTAATCCATCCTCCCCTCAACCCCTAACCCTGCCTTCATTTGGTTCTCAAAAGTGCTAGGAGTGGAATTTTGAAGTCTAATCGCTGTCATCCCTGGGTATGTTTTCCTAGAAGACCTATCAACAAGCACTTTYTCTCTCTCTCTCTCTTAACAGGTCTGTTGCTCAGGTCAAGAGCCAATGACAGCCTAGTACCAGCACCAGAGAAGCTTTTTCTTACTTTTATGGGGGGGGGGATATGTTTCCACACTCTCTATTCCTGCCTTCAGTGCTCCTGAGAGGGCCACCTCCCTCAAGATCAGTAAAAGAAAAAAAAAAGAATTAAAAAAAAAAAAAAGTCAGTAAAAGATCGATACCCCAGACATCTCAGTCTCTACCTACCTTCATAGACTTTCCTCAGGAAGCATTGCTGGCTGCCATGAGCCTGACAGGAGCTTTTCTCACTCTTGCAAATCCCTTTAGCATTGATAYGAGGGCACTGGACACACGTCAGAGCTAGAAAGACAAAAGCCGGGGAATGAGGCTGGTCAGAAAAGGCAGCTGAGTCTGTGACCCTGAGGACTGAACAAGGAACAACAGCCATTCCCATATTGAGGGAAGGAGCTGGACTCCTAGGAACTGATGGGGCTTCTGGGAGGAAGACCAAGGCCCCTGATGAAGGTGCCTGAGCCTAGCACCTAGTTGGAACTACTCCTTCCCATTCTTTCATTATCTTCCTGTTCCACAAAAGAAATTCCCCCTTCCAAACCAAATCTAGTAATGTCTGACAGAAAGATAGAGGAATTGGGAGTACTAAGAATTAGACTTGAGGCAGGAGGGCATAAGAGTCTAAGGAGAAGGAAGGAGGAGGAAGACCCAAGAACCCCAAGACCAAACAATCCTTGGCCACCAGTGYGTCTACTGATCCAGCTCAGCGCTCCCCAGGGCTCACCTTGCAGGAATCCCCATAACAAGGAGAGGCCCAGCAGTAGCAGCAACAGGTGCTTTCCCATAGTTGTAGGACCCCAGGACCAGAAGGAACAGAAAGCAGGACAGAGCTACTGGTGCCCCACCCCAGCAAGTCTGGTTTTTATAACCCCAGGCTGGGAAGGACAGCCAGTGGGAGCCCAGGTCAGGGACAGAGTTTCCCCTGAAGGCAGCATGAGCAGAGAGCCAGGGGCAGGGTGGCGGGTGTCTGTGGGTCAGGGGAGGTGTAAGGGTGTAGCCAAGTCCTACCACTTCTGCTCACCTCCATTGGCCCTCCCCCAGGTACCTTCAGGCTTCTTATCTGACAGATCTCCCACCCCCCTTTTTTTTATTAGAGCTTTATAGTTATATAGAATTTTCCCCCCACACTTTCTCTCCCATCCTCCCTCTCCTCTCCCATTCTCCTTCCCTTACTCTACTAGACTTCCTTTTGCTTGTCTATTAATATATTCGATTCATTCTTTAGTATTCTTATCCTTACCTCCCCCTTTCCTTTATTTTACTCTAGTTTCCACATATGAGAGAAAACATTTAACTTTGAGTTTCTGATTTGGCTAATATTCTCCATTTGGCATGATATTCTCCATTTCAATCCATTTACTAGCAAATGCCATAATAAATGGGAGAATTATGGCTGTGTGACCCAATCACACAAGCTATGGGCGATGATGAGCCTGGTGAGGTGCAGCARCACAATGCATCATGATCTTCCATACAGAAGGAAACTATTTGCCTCAACATGGTGAGTCCAGGTAGGTATTAAGTCTCCTTATTTCTTGGAAATGGATGTGCAGCTAAACTATTATTCAGTAAAGCATTAAACCCAAAATAGCAGACTTGGGTTTATCTTCCATGCTATCCCAACCAGAAGAGGTTTCCTATTTGTTTATATACTTGATGAATGGAATTTAAAAACACTAATCTGCAGGAAAAGGTGTGTAGCTTTGGCTTCAGACTACTCCATAGCCCTTGGCACACTCTAGGATCTGAGTCTTCCCTTACTCAAACATGGTACTTCAACAATTAGCCTACCCCTCCCCTCTTCCCCTCTTCCCCCTATTTCCTTCCCCCCATTTCCCACTGAAATGGGAAACATACTCCACGAGGTATAAGGTCTAATTATTCCCCAGCCCAGTGCTGAAGTCTCAGAAGCCTGTGTCACCTATCCCACCAGAAAATAACATAGGACATGGATTGAGAGAGACTTAGTGTGGAATCTTTGAAAATGTCATTCCATTTGGTTCTTGTACAAGAGACTATGTGGTAGCTATTAACATCTTGTATTAGTGAGAAAACAATCTAGCCAAGGGAACAGAAAGGATGATACAGATTCAAACCCAGTTTCGCAGACCCCACTAACTTTGTTATTATGCCAGTAGAAGTCTTGATGTTTCCCAAGAGCCTCCAATTGTTGTTCAGGAGCCAAAGGTCATCCCTGGTCCCAGAGATGCCACCTGTGGCCTCCTTAGAGAAGTTCCCTAATGCGAATCTCACATTGTAAATAAGAATGGACATGTGTCAAAAGAAATAACCTCTGTCATTTGCTGAGAAAATTATTTTAACTAAATGCTTCTTCTTCTGGGACTCCCTTTTGGCCTTAAGCCTAGTATGCTGTGAATGGGAGGAAGAGTCTGGGCCTGGCTCTGTAGGCTAGCTCTAAGAATTCCTTTCTCTCTACTCCCTGGACCTGCCCCATTCTCCTTCCAGAGAGCCCAGTTGCCCAAGCTCCCCAAGGCCAGCAACTGCCCTGAGCCACTGCTCACAATTCTTTTTGCAATAGAAAAAGAGGCAGGATTCATTTTAGCCTGTGTGGTGCTGAGGAGCTCAACATTGTACATTGTGCATGAGCTGGGTATGGGGATGGATATCACCAGAAATGTAGGGTGGGGAAACAGGTATCATTTTAATAACTATATTTATATAACTAATATGATAGACTTGAAAAAAAGAAAACCTAGTATAAATTGCACAATGCTTGACAAAATAATCTCAACACATGGAAACATCAGAAACAGCCAACTCTTTCTCAGCCACTATTAAGAACACTTAAGGGGAGGGGCATGGGGAGAATGGAGGAACTTTGGACAAAGGGGAGGAAGGGGTAGGGAGAGGGCATGGGGGCAGGAAAGATGGTAGAATGAGATGAACATCATTACCCTAGGTACATGTATGACTGCACATATGGTGCGACACTACATTGTGTACAACCAGAGAAATGAAAAGTTATGTTCCATATGTGTACAATGAAACAAAATGCATTCTGCTGTCAAGTATAACTAATTAGAACAAAATTTTAAAAAGATCATTTAAAGGGGTCCACTCTAGAGTGTGGTAAGATCTTATATATCTACCAAAAAATGATGTTCATTTTAAAAGATGGTGATGTCTATTCTTATTCATAATGTGGGGTTAGCACTAGAGACTCTGCTATGCTACTATCAGTGAGTGGAGAGAGTATTGAGGAGGAGGCAGCAATTCAGTTCTTCCCAGGCGGATGCAAGGTCAGGCCAGACAGTGAAACTGATTCATGAAGGAATGAGCTCCCAGCAGATAGGACTTTTTCAGCCATATTTCACACAATATGGCTAATAGTCCTCATAGCAACTCTCATACTCTTCCCGCAGCCAGGATTCCTTGCTGATGTTCCTGAAATCTCTGCCTCACATCTTTACTCTCCTGAGTACAGGGAACAAAATACCTGGAGCTCCTCCCAGCTAGTCCTGTGTTAGTCCATAAAACTTCTTGGCAATCCTTTTCTCTGTTATTCAATGTAAACATAAAAACAGTCATATACTCTGGTAACTTCATGAAATATTTATTTGTATGCTGTTTGCTAATTATTCTCCCTACCTTCAATTACAAGAAGGTAGCTTAGCTCCATTGCTGAGTCTCACAGAGTGGGAGCAGGAATAGCAACAGATGAACCCATTGTCCTAGGCACCTGGTCTCAGCAAGCTTTCCAGGGCAACAGTTACACTCAGCACAAAGGTGACAGAACTCTAGCATTTCCAGAAATGCAGACTCATATAACCTTCATGAGAAGGTTCTGTCATTAAGACAAAATACCTGACATATGAATTTGAAAAGAAGTTTATTTTGGCTCACAATTTTAGAGTTTTCAGTCTATGATCACTTAGTCCTGTCATTTTGGGCCTGTGGTGGCACAGAACCTCACAGCAGGAGCCTGTTCACTTTACAACAGATAGGAAATAAAAAATAAAGACAAGAAGGGGTGGGGTCCCAATATCCCCTTCAATGGCACAATCCCAGTGACTGGAACTCCTTCCACTGGGTCCAACCTCTTAAAGATTCAGCATCTCTCAATAATGCCAAGCTGAGGACTACACTTTAACACATGGGGGAAATCCAGGTGCAAACTATAGCAAACTGCRTACCTTAGTCCCAACAATGACCACATATCACTCTTCCTCATCTATCTTTCCCTACAGTGGAATTCCTGACTATTAATTTTAAAAACACTTAACAGTTTCCATGTCAAACTTGAGTTTCAGTGCTGGAGAATTTTTTAAATGTCTCGGTGTCCTGAAGATAAGCTGATCATCAACTTTTTCCAGATCGTGAGTATATGGGTGTGGCCCAGCTGTGTACTTGCAAGTGTTTTAACAGCTGGCTTGTGGGTGAGGGAGGGTGAGGAGAGTCCTGATTTATAGTATGTGCACATTTCTGTGGTATAAATGGAAATTCCAAGCTAGCATTCTGATATCATTGAATGTAGAGRTGAGAAGAGACATGCACACCATTAAGCAGTATTTTCAGCACATTGGTGCAATGGAACTAAATGACCTTCAGAGCTCAGACAACAGCAAAATGTAGGTTATGAATTGATGGTGTTTTGATTCTTTTTTGTTTGGAATAAGCTAATTTAGTTATATTTTTCTGTAAGTTAATTTTTAATAATAGTTTTGTTCAACAAACAGCTCATAAAATTACTGAAACTTTAACAGTTGGCTCTCATAAGCCAACACAGGCCAGCCCCCAACATACCAATGGTTAAGCCACATTCATGTAAAGCTGGTGCCCTTTACTCACATAGTTCCTAGTGCATCACTTGTCCTACCCTTGACTTGATTTATCACTGAGAGACAAATGTCTATGGACAGCCAAACTTATGAATAGACCTGTCCTTTCCAGGGTTGATGAAATGACCTAGGGAACTARTTGTCCTAAAAAGTCTAAAAAAGCCCTTGCAGATGTGTCTAACCAGATCTGTGCATGCTACACTACTGGCAGAGCTATAAAGCCATTGAAGCTCATCTGGAGAAGCCATATCAAATTTTTATTTCAYATTTATGCAAAAGCCTGAGAGAAGCTTTGCTGATAGAATCCTTATGTTGACTTCACTGACTAGAAAACTCTGGACATTGACAAGCATTCTGAATCTTCCCACAGAAAATGCTGAGGTGAATCTGTCGGAACACCCTGAGTTTTACCCTTGAGAACCACTGGTGCAAATTTATCTCTGGCCTGCTGCTTGGTGAAACATTGCTTCTAAGTCTATTTCCCACTCATTCTGCCTCTCTCTGGGATTATGTGATAACTTATAGTTAAATTATAGGCAATAACATATTGTACACAATTCCTGATTATTTTCAGCTGAAAAAAAATTCTTTCAAAAAATCCACTCTGTAGGTGTGCTTCAAAATGACCTACAGGGGTGGCTGGAACAGTGAGAGGGATAGAGATAAAATAAGCTTAGTTATTTATGCATAATTATTGAAACTGTGTGGAAGGCATGGGAAGGGTTCCCTTACTTTTTGTATATGTGTGAAACTTTCCACATATAGAAAAAATAAGGAAGGAGGAGAAAGCCCACATGATCAATGACTTACTTCAGAGATGGTGGAAAATGTGTGTATTTCAATATGTGTGTGCATTAAGGCACAGTTAATAGCTTAACTGTTTTCGAATTATAAAGGTCTCCTGCAGCTTCACAAACAGACATGTAGGTCCCACACCCTCAAGAGCTGTTGGTTTAATGCTATGCTGTCAGCATCTTGAAATTCTT